TGACTCTCTGCTATTAAAATTTGGAAAACTCATAGCATTTTGTTGCCTCTGTCTTGCTGAGATGCCCATCTCAGCCACATACTCATGGAAGCTTGGTGTCCATAACCCTAATAACTGAGGATCCCGATCCCTCATCAGACCTGCTGGAACAGCTCTCCAGTCCCATGTCACTGCAGGTGGTCTCCCCACAGGCATGACAGTGCTAGCACTGCTCTCAAGCTTGGTTTGTCATCAGCTCACTTGGTAGCTCCTGCTCCTTGAAAATGTCACGTCAGTTATGGACCTTTCCACAGGCAGATCCACATCCTTCATTTTCACAGGCCTGAAAATGTCTATTAGTACAAAATTGATCTGGGTCATCTTTCCCAAGAAAATTCCCTACCTGCCGAGCTACTGGCTAGTGCTCAGATGTGCTTATTTCATTATGAAGACTGTCCAAAGGTCTTTGTTTCAAAGAACAAATAACAATTCTTGACATTAGGTGTTCCAAGGAATAGAAACAAGGCTCTATTGGTCCTACGCCCAGCCCTACCCCAGTACTTCAATGTAAGGGGCACATAGCTTACCTCCATAGGTGTGCTGACAGCGCTGTAAAAGCAAACGGCAAATTAGAAGTCAGGTATCAGGTTTAAAGAACAGTGGCCATTCTTCAATAATACATCAGCTGCAGCCTCACATCGGTTACCTACTGTAAAGAAATCGGATCAATTATAGTAAGTGATATGAGTGAAGTTCTGCTCTCAGATCACAGTCTACTTATGCATGCCACTTAACCTTCAGAATATTCATTATTCATGCTTATTGGGGAAGAAAAAACACTAGCTACTGCTGCTCAGGATGGCACAAACCCTCACAACCTTCAGAGGAAAGTCTCCTTCCTGGAACAAGCTCTGTAGCACATCAAGTCATAACTGGCCTGTCCCTGATCAGAGGATTCTCCTTAGCGTTGTTTCTAGCTTCACACACTCCCACTGTTCTTTGTCACATTGCCCATTTCTAGACATAGCTATTTCTTTGTTTGCACTGGACAATGAACACCATACTTTGGAGCTGTATTATGAGGCCCTGTTAGGGATAGGGCACAACAGACACATTAGAAAGTCACAAAACAGCCTGGACTCAGCCTTGTTATCACTGCAACTCTGTGCAGTGCCACTAAGCAAGAGAAGACAGCACAGAACAGTTATCCCGATCTTCTTTCAAAACTGCCTGATGGCCATCACTTTCTGTATCACTATAAATTGTCTGCAGTGGGGCCAAAGTCTCAAAAGATATTCACAGGGGCTGATGCCGTAAGACCGATGAATAGATTCAAGCTTTTCAGCCACACCACTAGCAAGAAATCAACTCAGCACAGTGTAGATTCAAAGACAATTCTCACCAGGACATATAGAGGAACCACAACCCCAAAAGAGTTAGGGAAGTCTCAGATGCAATTCCAGAGCTGCAGACTCACCTCAGCATTCGCAGGCAGGCAGACTTACCAAAAAAGCCAGGATCTGCCCATTGCAGGTAGATTGAACAACGGCACTGGAACCACTGGAATGTGCCTCCTCGCCTGGTCCAGGTACCTAGCTGATGGCATCGTACTGGGGATAGGTGCCAGCCTTCTACCAAACCAAACCTGCTTTTCTTTCCCCAGCACCAGGTCTGCTTTTTTTTTTCTAAGTGCATCTTTGTGGTTGCCAGTTAGTTGCAGATATCCAAACAAGCCCATTATATTATCTGCATAGGAAGTACCATGCAGTGTCGCAGCAAAAGCATCAGTGATGAGGCTTGCAACCCCCCGTGAGATAGGTAAGCATCGTAATTTGTACTGATAGAGAGACAAGCAGGCAGCAATAAGAAATGACATATCCAAGGTCACAAACGGTAGGTGCCCTAGTATTACCTTTCTACACGCTTTTCCTGCGGCTTGGGAGGTGGAGTGTCATGGAGTTTGGGTCTCTGAACCACAGTTTTCGGTCAGGTTCTGCACTAAAAAAAAAAATCGACCTCTATATGTGGTACGTAAACAAGGAGATACTAAATCCAAAAGCAGACGTTCAAGCCACAAAATATGTAGAGAAAACAGTAGTATGAACGTTTATTACTAACATTACTAATTAATATTAGTACTAATTATTATGTGTTTGTCTTGTGGCAGTGTCAGGTGCTTCAGGGACAGGGGCTGAGGCCTCTTGGTTTGGAGAGAAGACAGTGTTGCAGGGGGCTCACGGCCAGCAGAGAGTTGTTAATGGCAAGAGAACGACACAAGAAGTGCTTTGCTAAAGTCAGAGCAGCCACAAAGGTTACACTGGCCCTTTGGTTATCCAGGGGCCTGCCTGTATGAAAGAAGAGGGCACATCACCTAGAACAGACCAAGTCCTTGCCGTTGCTTGGTAAACTCACCACCTGCATTCCGCTAGCAGAGTAAATGCCGGCAGAGCATTCTGAACTCTTTCTGAACTCTTCACACAGAGGTGGTCCTGTACCAGTAGGACACAAGGAGGTATCATCAGATTGCTGCTTACTTCAACCAGCATTTCATTCCCTGGAGCACTTGTCAGCTGCCCTCGCTTAGAAATGCTCCAAGGCTGTTCTAATTTGAACCAAACAGCATACAAAAAAAAATATTGATTCATCCTCAGACATCGTGCTTTTTTCTGTCCTTCCACAAAGACAAAACAGGGCGTCTGGTCCTTGTTGAGAGGCAAGGATTTTTAGGGAGTGCTGCTGTATAGTGGAATGGTAAAAACCTTTAAATAAAAGAACAAGGCTGAGCAATCGTAGAAGACCAACACCAACTGGCCAGGTGGCTTTAGAAGAGAGGATATTAAAGGTTTGAGAACAGCCCAGGAGCAGTGTGAGAGCGCAGGTAGCACAAAGGGCCTTATGCCAGGCCAGGACCAGGGCAGTATCTCAGGTTCCTCTGTTAGCGAGACTAACTATCTGTTCTGAAAACTGATAAATTATAAATTTCATCAGAAGCTTGATTGCAGAGGAGTCTTGATCGGGGCAATGCAATATTCAGTCTTGACAATTCTACATTAAACCATTTAATGTCCATCACTAAATGGTAATTTTCCTTTAACAGGGTTTAAACTTGCCTAAGCTGGGCTAAGAACAGCACCAGGGAGCTCTAGCTGTAAATTGGCATCCTCTGCTCTCACCGAGCTGCCTTCCTGTGCAAACATATGGCACTGGCCCCTCTACATCTAATGTCTCCAATCATATTTTGTCCATACCAAACTTAGCATTTCCATTGCAAAGCTCTAAACACTCTCAATAGTCTATTTGCTGTCTTTTTTGACCTTGCAGATCTCATTGTTTTTTTTCAGGTGTGCAGGGCTGGGAGATCTCAATGCACCGGTTGTGCAGAGTCGCTACGTAAAAATGATAGAAGGAGAAGTTTCACATCAGGATTTTTTTCTGTAGTTGTGTAGTTCTTTATTACCAAGAAATGCTCACTGTTATTAGGCTCCAGACAGCATTTGTACCTGATTTCAGACATCTGTATGTCCGTGCCACCTCCACCTTCTCCTCCAGTCTTCTCCCACCACTAGGCATTAATATGATGAGCCTGCTGCTTAGATCAATGTGCCTGGGACCCACAGGGCAGGTGGGAGAGGTACGGATGATAGATGTAGAACAAGGGGTAAGAGAGAGGCGGGAGAAATGTCACAAAGGACAAGGAGGGACAGGTATGGTGGCAAAGACAAAGAGGAGACGGGTAGCTCACAAGAGCCAAGAGCTGAGCAGGAAACAGCATATTCTTACTGTCTGTGGCTAAAAGCCTTGGTTGTTATTTGAGGCAGATAAACCCAGGGTCCAGGATACCAGCTTTTCTCGTAGAAAGACTATTCAAAATTAATTCAGCGTTAAAAAAATAATATAGTCACTGTTTTGGCAGTGTGGACATTTTAGGAGGGTCACCTGACAAAGAGGAGGCCTCGAAAAAAATATTTTTATTCTCATATCATCACCCTGCAGGCATTTCCCCTGGGTCCATCCCACAGCTCCTCTACCATCCTCCCACCCCTGCTGTCTATAGTAAGATTTATGCAACCAGCCCCTCAGTGCTTCACTGTAAAGCATATTGTCATTTTTTTCTATTCAAACAAGATTATCAGAAGAACTCTAGATTTAACACATGGTGGAAATGATTCATAAAAAAAGAATATCCACTGTGTTTTCTTGGTTGCAAGTGCCACAGAAGGAAAGTGGTGCTGGATTTGCAGGCAACTTTCAAATGTCTCCAAATTGAGTGCTACGAAAAGTCTATTGCACAAGCTCAGCTGGAGAGGGCAAGGCACAGACGGCAGACAAGGTCACTCTGACAACGGGGAACATGCTTTATATGCTGAGCAGCACAGGGCTGGAAGAAGGCAGACAACAAGGGCTTGACGCATTTGAAGTGTCGCTCAAAGTTGAGTCAAGGTTTCTCCTTGTGGAGATACCTGACAGCTGCAATCACCTTCCTATTTCATGTCAGCATTGATTTCAGCTCCAGGTCTTGCAATTCTTCCTGTAATTTATTCAGTTCATAGTGATTCACTACATAAAAACAGTGGAAAAAAATCCCCTCAGATAAAGCACCATGGTTACAGATCTAAGATCCAGCCTCGCTATATTGAAAGCAATGGGAATTTCATTCCTTTCTTTAGGCAAACCCTTGCCCACTAGGAAACTCCAGAGTTACAGGTCTCAGTTCTGTCCTCATTTACCTCTGCTAAAATCCAGACTGACAGTTTGCTTTAACAAGCTTCAGACTGCTTCTTAAGCAACCAGCTCCTCTGCTTCTGAGGTAAGCATGATGATAAAAGTGAATTCAGTCCCATGCTTAGCACTGCAGCCAGTGAAAATTAAAGGGTGGAAAAGAAAAGCAAAAGAAAGTGATAGTTTATAAGACTTTTTTGTTTCCTCCAGTGCACAGGTGAATTGGAAACATTCCTTGTATAAATTTTGGTGAGATTAGTTACGAAATGTGTTTTCTGTCACTCTTTTAAATAGCATCTTTCAATAAACCATCTCCTACAGCTAATCCTGGATTTATGAAAAAAAAAAACCCCAACAACACAGAAACCCCAACCCCGTCCAACACTGCTAAAGATGTGAAATGAAGTATTTCAGGTTGTATATGCACCCAAATAGGCTTTCAGGTACTGTGCATATTATATTTCCCCCAGAATGTAGGTAGGGATTCTTGCTCACTTAATGTTCAGATAGTTTTACACTGCAAGATATTTGAGGACAAATAGTATAGTTTTAACAAAACAGTTACAACATGCATTTTTATTTTAGTTGCCTTAAAATGGGGTTTGCTCTTGTCAGAATAAGGGTTTTTTTTTATTTGCTACAGCAAAACGTATTTACTGAATGTGGGGTTTTGTAGTGAAGATTAAGGAAAGCCTGAGATTCGTCTCTGATTTAAATAACCAGTAATTTTGATTTGTGTTCCTTGTACCAGAAGATCACCCTTTTCCACTCCTCCTCTCGGTCCCAGAGCAGCCCATGAACCAACAGACAGCTCTCTCCCCATCTGCCTCGTCCCTGGGGCGGGGGGATGCACTCCTTCGGCCAGAAGCTCTGGCTCTAGATACTCACAGGTTTACCAGCTTTCTGAGTCTCTCTGGCGAGAAAAGAACAATCAGCTTCACCCGTGCCAAACCCCAACTTTCTGAACACCTCCACAGCATGACCAAACACGCTACAAGCCATCATTCCTTGCTTTCAGGAGAGACTGAGAAACAGCAACTCAATTTACAAAGGCAACACAACAAAGATGCCCAGCTCCAGACTACCTTCGCTCCCACAGCCCACTTTCCAAAGACTCTGACTTATGCAAAGAAAGAGAAGCCATCCATCTGAGCCAGAGGGCTGCAAGTAACACTGTTTTTCCTTTGAAAATCTTTTTATTTATGAGGGACTCTCCTGCAGCAGGCACTATAAAGTCAGTATGGAAGGGGACAGCCCAGAGCCTCCAATGGAAGAGCAGGATGGCGAGGTGGGACTCAGAGGGGGGAAAAGTGAAAGGAGAAAGGGAAACTGTGGGGGAAATAAGTTATTTTCATAGGCAGAATCACTGAATCACAAAATAACACAGGGTGGACAGGGCCTCTGGAGGTCTCTAGTCCAGTCCCTTTGTCACAGCATGTCCATTAGACCAGGCTGGATCAGGCTGCTTAGTTCCTTGTCCAGTTGCGTTCTGAATACCTCCAAGGATGGAGATCCCAATACCTCCCTTGGCTTCTGTCCCAGTGCTTGAACACCCTCAGGGTGAAAAAGCTTTTCCGTATATCTAGCTGGCAATTCTTGTGTTCCAGCCCTGTTCAGCCAGCTTATGAAAGCAAGGCACTTCTGGGGAAGGGTGCTCCCTCTGACATGTGTGTTCTTGTTTTCTCTCCTGCCTTTTATATAACTCACTTTGTGCTTCTTTTTTGGCTCTGTTTTTATGCAGTAGCTCTGTTACTGTCTGCTTTTCCAATTATAAAAACTCTAAATTTGATTTAAACCTGATAATTATGCTGTGATCTAGCAAAGGCCTTAATTAACCCTATATAGCCAATAGGTGTGAGGCATGCTCTTTAGGACCTTAAAAATTTGGCGTTTAATTGCCTCCAACACTGAGAAAGGTGCAGGGAGGTGGAGAAGTGACTATGTAGCTAATTCAAGCCACCAGTACTAACAGGACAGGACTTTGTGCACTAGATCTCATATAACCCATCCAGACCAGGATTTTCTTCTGTCTTCCACCACAAGAGGAATATGAATATACCAGATGCACAAGAAGACTCAGCTGGTCACTGGTATTGCTACAAAAGTTTGTCATGTCCTTTGGCTGTTAGAAATCCTGAATGATGATCTGCACAGCGGGTGTGTTTGTGTTCCCCTGCAAGGTCAAGGCATTTCTAGCTGCATTCGCTACCCATCAGGACAATTCCAGTCTACAGGGGTACATCTTCCTCTCTTGCCATCAGTCCTGCCAAACTAAGTAAGATTCAGCCATAGAAAAAAAAAACCATTGGGATCTCTCCTGCCTGGCAGCAGCCAGGAGAAAAGTACGGGAAACAATATTTGGGAGGCGCAGTGTGGCATCCCATGCAGCTGGCACTTCCAGCCACCTAAAAGAGCTGGTCAGCCCTGTACACAGTCTACAGCTTAGGGTGGGGGGAAGAAAAGTCCTTAACACACCGAGCTGTATAAAAGAAATGTCCTATAATGTCACCACAGGAACAATGATGTCATTCTGTGCTGCCCTTCTGTTTTTATCTTGCCTGTTTATTCATCCCTTAATTCGCTGAGTAACCACGCAGAGCTACCAGGAGACTAAAGCGTGTGGGTCCAAGGTGAAGGCAGGTCTTCACACTTTGCAGGGATGATCAAGGGCAGGTGCTGCGGCAACCTGCAAGCCAGGCTTTATCCTTTTGCGTTCTTACTGGAATTTTTCACATATGCCAGTAGCTTTCTTCCCTTCCTGTCCTTCCCCAGCACGAAATCCTTGGTTCTCGCAGAACTGTATGACTCTTGGGAAGGAGAACACTGATGTGCCAGTGATTATCACACTGATGATAGCTGACGAGCGCTTAGTTGGCACCAGGGAGGAACCGGTCCTGAATTTATGTGCCTTATTCTCAAACGCTTTGTTCTTGGTCATGAGAAGCAAATCAGCCTATGGGGAAATGCAATTATGGGAAACAGGCTTAAAATTGTCCCAAAATAGGCCTAAAATTGTCTTACAAGCCTTTAGCCCAGTCCAGAGGAAAAAGTGTGTGTTTGTCTTTCTTTAGGGCTTCACAACACCCAGCTCTAAATGTCACTAGCACGCGGAGGAACAGGAGTGACCATAATGCTCAGAAAATACCCCCATTCGCTACGTCAAGCTCTTCCAGTGACACATCAAGCAGCTCTTCACTTTCATCAGAACCGACCAGCCAGATCTCCATGGTTCAGGATCAAACCCTGCTGGACATTGCTTCCATCACTAGATTGGCCCCAGGAGAATCACCAAGCCCTCAGCCATTTGAGCAAAGAGATAAAAATTTAGCAATATCATGTTCCAGCCCATTCGGAGCAAGGACTATTCCAGCATCTTGCCCAGCCAGCCCCAGGCTCAGTCTAACACCCAGCTCAGCCAAGCCACAGCAATACTCTGACTCTTCTCCAGTCAGTCCAGGGATCAATGCAACTTCCTTCTACACCTTTTGTCCTCACACAGCACAAAACATACAAGCTTCAGCATCAGATCACACACTGACCCCAACCAGGAAAAGCACAAGGCCTCCAGCAACAATGACTCCTGAAGATAGTTCCCAGTCTCCTGGCTATTCTAAAACTGGATTAAAGAATACAGGAAAGGGTTTTGAATCAGATCTGGAAGATCCTGGTCATGAAAGGTATGTATCCAGACCACACACGTTTAAATACCCAAATGACTCAACTTGGTATAGGGTCATTAAGAGCCCCTCATAAAAAAAATTTATAGATATTTATTATTTAAATGTTCCCAGTGTTTGTTTTCCGGTAACTACCCTATGCTCCCACTAAACTCTGTTATCCAAGAAGGAAAATACCATGTTTTCCATACATTCATTTAGCTCTCCAGACCTCATTATAGGACCATCCCTGGGCCACGTCGTCAACCTCAGCTCCTCCAACAGGGCACAGTTTCAAGGTGCCTCACTTCCTTTCTAATGAGAAAGCACATCTCTCCCTATACTAGCAGAGAGAAACTCTGCTGTTACTACGAAGCCTGACAGATAAGAGCTGATATTCAGTGACATGGCCGGTATCTCCCTTCCCAAACCTCAGGCTCTGTGGTCCGACCCCACGCAAGCTGGGCTGATTTCACCCCTCTGAGCCTCTGAACTCCACACTGTGTCTGCCACTTCTTTCCTTGGCAGGAGATTTGTAACCGCGAAGGAATTCCAAGCCATGGAGAAAGAACTAGAAGATGTAAAAGAAGAACTGAAATGCCTGAAGTGGAAAGTGAGACACATTGGTGAGACTGTGCAGCCCCTGGCTGAAGACAGCAAGCGTTACAACGGCTATACCCTGACGGAGCTCAAGGCAATGGTGCAGTTTGAAGACGACCCTTACAAGGCTGCACACAAGATCCTAACTGCGCTCTTCAGCGATGTCTACTTGCTACAGCACTCAGTCACTGAACAGGCCTGCAACTCCCAATCTCTGCCCAAGCCCAAAATAGATCCAGAGCTGTACACAGTGTACTGTGACATTCTGAAAAGCATATTCCCTGGAATTAGCAGCCAGACCTTGAGGGAAGAGACACAACACGTGCAGAAAAGCACCCAGAAAGAAGTGCAATAACACCAGAGCCCACAAGATGTTCTGCAAAGTCAGAAGTCTGATGATTTTAGAGGACTGAACTGTGGGTACGTACTGTTGGTTGAGTCTATCCCTTTTAGGTATGAATCATCTGTAAAGATACTGGTGAGCTCTGAGCCCTTTATGCCACTTGCCCAATGAGACAGGATGGGAAGGCGTTCTGCATACTTCCTGCATTTTAGAAAAAAATTGCCCTCTTCGTGTCTCTTTCAATATATGGATGTTTCCTTGTTTCCAGCAACTACAAATGCTGAGAAAAGAATCCAGAGAAGGCATTGTGTGTCCAAGCAAGGGCCTTTCCCCGCCCCAAACAGACCAAGCAACCAACCAGCATCTGGGTAGTTTCTATTTTCTAGAGTATATCATTCATTAAATGACATTACTTGTTAGAAAATTGTGCCTGTTCTTTTTTTTTATTTTATTTTTTGTCTAAAAATGCTTTGCACATCAAATCAATTAACGATCATAACTTGACTACACACTGGAATGAGACCTGGGCATGCAGCAAACCACCCTCCCCTCCCTGCCCATCCGCATCCTGGGTTACATGAGAAGAAAACCAGGGCACAGAGGTCAGCAGCTGCAGTGCACCCAAGCAGGTCTCCATTGTAGATAACTGGGGGCCAGGGCATAAAAGTGTGCAATACGCCCCTAAATCAGCAACCCAACAGTGAAACAGGTAAAGGTCTGTGACCTCCATCTCTCCTAACTTGTGATAACAGAGCTGACAGAACAGCTCACGTGTCAACAGCTGTGCTTTGCCTTCCCATGACAAAGATGCTGGCTTTAAACTAAAGGGGGGTAGATTCAGACTAGATATAAGGAAGAAATTTTTTCCGCTGAGGGTGGTGAAGCACCGGCACAGGTTGCCCAGAGAGGTGGTGGATGCCCCATCCCTGGAAACATTCCAGGTCAGGTTGGATGGGGCTCTGAGCAACCTGATCTAGTTGAAGATGTCCCTGCTTATTGCAGGGGGGTGGGACTAGATGACCTTTAGGGGTCCCTTCCAACCCAAACTATTCTATGATTGTATGATTCTACAAAAGACTGGCCCCTTGCAAAGGTCCTACAAGGTGATCGCTGCTAGGGAGCCTGCCCCAAGGAAAAGGAGGCTGCTGTCATGGAGGACACAGAGGAAAATGGCCCTGGAGCTCCTTCCCTCCGTCTGGGACCCAGCAAAGTGCAATGGATGAACAGCAGTTTGTCCATCAGGTTCTGCTCACAGGGCTGGCCTTGTAGCCAGTTTTGTAACGATCTGGTGAGGGTGGAGGGATGTCCTTGTGCCATTTTGCTCAGGACCGATGGGCAATACTGTTTCCCTACCTACTGGTTCACCACCCACCCCACCCCCCCTTGCAAAGAGCCGTTGACACTTCCCTGGTCTCAATGTGACAAATACATCAAAAACCCAGAACACGTCTGTCCTGCACACTGCTGCTGCTCCCTGCCAGGCCATTGAGGATGGCAAGATGAGCAAAAGGTAACCTGTGAGTTCGGCCTACCTTTCCCTGTGCTGGGATATTATTCACTTCTTAAGGTTATTTCAAAAACAACAGGGAGGAAGAGGCGGGGGGAGGGGGGGGAGATTAAAAAAGAATAAATAAAAGCAGACCATTCCTTGTGTCACCACAGTTCCAGACATCTTTGGAGGATGGGAGGGGGCAGTACACTCCAAGGACATGCTCTGTACCTTCTGGGATCTTCTGCATAAGGATTTTGGGGATGTTCTGACATTTGTATGAGAGATCCTACTTGTCTTTCAGCATGATGTATCTATACTGTTCTCTGCCGGGCTTACGAATACATTTTTTAAAGCTCCTTGTTATTAGCAATTTATTTTATTTACAAGCTGATGTGCAGACACAGGCACAGCACTTTGCCCATGTAGCCGCCTCTCTGTACCACACTACAGCCAAGATCTACAGCCACACCTGACAAGTTGCCAGGTAGCTACCGAGGGTTGTGCACAGTGCATGGCCTCGGGGCAGTCACAGCACCGAAGCAAGGGACCGGGAAAAGGATGCCTCCCCAGACACAGCCAACTCCCTTCGCAGGTGGGCACGGAGGTGAGTGTAGGATGGATGGAGCTGCTGGAGATGCAGTGTTCCCTCAGAGCAAATCACACCCTCCGGTGAGCACTGCAGTGGATTATGACAAATCATCTGGACGGCTCTGTGCACCGTGAGGAGGATGTTTGTGTCACGCACAAGCATGCTCTCCTGCAAGCATTTATGTTCTGCTTTCATGGCTCTTTTTTGTAGGAAAATGTGTCCCTTTGGTTCAGACGGGTGGGAATAGGCTGGCCCTCCTCTCACAGATCTCACATAGGCACTGCTCCAGACACCAGACCCCCGACTCTCTCAGAGGACTCTCTTCAGAGCTTTCCATAATCTCCAGTGGACACAGAACTGAGGAAAATGTAATGTAGACATTAGCCATATCAGTCTTCATATGTTGTATTGCCTGCCCTCTCCGCCTGTAAAATCTTAATACAGTCGATCCTGTAAGAGCAGGCTCTGCGGCCTCTCATGTTCATGGGGCCAGACAATATGCTCAGATTATATTTTAGCCTTGTTCTCTGCATGCCTACTAGTAACAAGGTCCAGCACAGACATATGAATTATTTTTATTGGCTTTGCATCATCAAGGCCGGTTCTGTCAGATTTTGTCAGTTCTAGGTCCCTTTCAGGTTTCAGTGTCCTTCTTCTTCTGGATCTGCTGTGGTATGAACCACTACTGCCCATTTTAGATATGTGCATTAGGTCTTTTACCCTGATATTCAATGGCTTTTAGCTATTCCAGTGGAGCCATGAGGTTAATTGCATCCAACTAGAGTTGGCCACTCTTGCCACATCTCCCATACATTATTATTAGGTATCTGCAACTTCTGAGTCCTAGAGTCTGTCCCCAGTGCCTTACCTGCCGTAGCCGCCCAAGTGATCAGCTGCAGAGAACCTGTGAAAAAAGCCACAGGGCATGCCCACTACATTTGTCCTTCACAGGCTCCTTGCTTCCTTCTTTTCCTCTGTTGCGTTTATGCCTTGAAGGCAGCTCTGCCTCTGTGAGGATGGTTTGTTCTCCAGTTGCTACGTTATCTGCACCTTTGTGACCATCTCCAGTACTTGAGCCACCTTCCCTGATTTTTCTACAGGGAGAAAAATCTACTCATTCTCCTGAGCGCTTCCTGTTGTTTGTATTCCTGTGCATTACCAAGTCCTTTTGTCCTTTATAAGCCTTAGCTTTCCTTGCTAGCTTTCCTTACCTAGGTTTGCTGGGGAGAGAAACACAGCTGTCTTCTCACAATTCTGAAGAGCTTTTCTGTGTCCAGTCTATTTTTTTCTATAGTCACCCACTCTTAACACAACAGGAGGGTGAGGGCTGAACATCTACGCCTGCAGAAAGAGCCCTTCTCCTTGGAGGGTAACGAAACGGAGTCAGTATAGTGGAAGTAAGACAGCAGTATCTTAAATACCCAGGCTTGAAAGCAATTTTTTGCTTTCACTTTTAGCATCCTGCGCTTGCCAAAAATGTGTCCTGTGACAAGCATGCTCTGTCTTAAGACTTGAGGTCTTGCTGCCTGGTATTCAGACAGAAAGGCAATTACACAGTCCCACTATTCTGACAGTTAAAAAGATTCAGCCGTTGTTCTTCTTGGACAATTCATACTGATTTGCACTGTGCCGACATTGCTCCTTAGCCTAAATAAGCCTTCTCTCCAAAATGTTATCACCTTCACTTGTATAGAGACAGACAGAGAAGGCAATCAGACACATAGTGAAAAATTAGTCTATAAATCCATGTTGCATTTCATCTATTCTCCATTAAACTGTATAACTCTATTTCTTTCCTTGAACACGTACTTTCAAGTCTGAAGACCCAATACGGGACCAAATGACTTTGTCTTTCCTTTCTTAACTATAGGCATTACATTTGCTATTCTCCAGTCACACCCAGATCCAGAGATTCATTAGTATTACACTTACTCAGGTAACATGCACTGTCTGTATGTATTCATCCCTGCATGTAACCTGAGGACCTCAGAGCCGCGGCACAGGTTGTCTTCCCCTGTGTCATCTCTAGGAGCAGATGTCTAGTCAGAAGTGTGAGGACATGAATACTTTTTTCAGCCTCAGGCAGTCTGCAGTTCGTACTGATTGATTGCATTAAATAAGCAACCTATTAATATTCACCATGCTGTGGCTCGGTAGGCTTCAGTTGGCAGAACAGATTCCACAGCAGATAAGTTATGTTAAACAGAGGGTCCTGATCTATACTGGTCAATCTAGGCTGGAAAGAGGCTCCGGAGGTCACTGTCCAACCACTCTGAGCACACAGTATTCTAGTAAAAGAAACCGAATAATAAAATCTGTGCTGCAAAAACTAAACCGTTGCAATACAAAAAACATCTGACAACAACCAAAAAAAAAAGAAAAAAAAAAAAAGAGAGAAGCCATACAAACAACCTGTATTGGAATCACTTGCACATCAGACCCACCACAGGAAAACCTGAGGAGTTTTCTTCTCCCAGAAGCACTGTGCTGGGAGATCATCTGGACAGGAGCTCTCCTCAGGCTAATCAGCCTGTAGAAACTTTATATAGTGGATAAATCAGTGGATAAAGAAGATAAATGGCAAAGTTTCTGTGGCACTGTTTTGGAGGGCCCTTTACTATAGTTAGATCCACATGCATTGCCAATTCATTTTTCAGACTTCTCATTAATATCTTTAATGCACAATTGCAGTCAAAATCAGTCACTGAATCGCACATTTTATGACCTCATGCTTACCCCTTCGTACTGTTAATAATAATATCCCTGCATAATGTGAACACTTTCTGCAAAACAAGACCACCAGCCCTTCTGCTTTATGACTAAAAATATAGCAGAACTAGTTTGAGGCAACTGCCAACATCTTTATATTAATTATCGGCATCATCTGTACTGAAATCTGAGTCACAAGGGTTTGGGCGGTACCATTAATTACCATTAATCCCTTCTCCATTCTTCCTGCATGAATGCCTGCTTCTCGTGATGTGTTCTCTGTACATTTATATACCTAGTCCCTCTTGCACACTCCAATGCAACTTGACTTTAGCAATTTTCACATTAAATCTACAATCTTTGTTTCACAAGGTTAAACTGCCTCCGGAGACCCTTTTCCATTTCTTATATCCATATGCTTCTACAGGTGGTTACTTTTTCACTATGAGCTGGGGCCCTCCCCATGGACCTCTCCTCCCCTTGGAGTGTAAGAGGCAAACAAGTGTCCAACAGGTCGTCCCCCCACCCTTATTCTCAAAGCACGAGCAGATGACCAAGGTGCAGATCTCCCTAGGGCCTTAATGCTACTCAGGAGAAAGAGTGACGCTGGGGGATCCCAAAGGACTT